GCGTCTTTTCTGTAGAGTGACGCAGCGTGCACCTGACATTAACTATTCATCACTCTGACAACAATTTCAATTCCAGCGTTTTAATTCAGCGCCCTGGAACGCCTCTGCCTGCAAACCGCTGTTTTCAGCTTTGAATGGAATCCACTGAGCGTGATCAAAGCCAGGCAGCCACACACTCCCTGAGACAGAGCACTTGCAGGATTCTTTTGTTTACAGAAGCATCTCCTCGTTACGAAGCGAACATGGTCTTTCAAGACGACTGGAGCAGAACCAAGACCGCATTTAAGCGTTCTGGGGCCCAAGCACACCCCATCCATGCATTTAACACAATAAGAATAATTATACAGTATTCTTACAGTTTTGTGGATTTTTTGCTTTCACTTATGAAAGTTGCTCTGGTATCTTCTGTTTGATATCGTCCAGAGGTAGGGTTAGGCTACAGAACACGAATTCAGGCCAACTCTGACTGTAGTTAACTGAGCAAAACCAAACTATCTGAGTGAACTCTGGATAGTCTAAAAGGTCAAATAAGCCTTAGAATATTTTTAAGTTGCTTAAATTATTTCATTTGCAATCATGCTTCTGAAGCTCGCTGCTGGCCAAGACTCTGCTTCACAGCCCCAAAAATCATTGAGTTAAAGGACATGTGTTTTTAGAAGCGAAGCTCTTTATGGATCTGGCTTGAAACAAATTAATTAACTAATTCACTCACTCACTAAATAGCTAACTAGCTAACTAACTTACTCACACACTAAATAACTCACCAACTCACTCATAAACTAACTAACTCACTCTCACTCACAGGCTAACTCACTGAATCACAAATTAACTCACTAACTGATTAACTAACTCTCACTCACTAACTAAATCACAAGCTAACTCACTCACTAAGTGACTCACTCACAAACTCACTCACTAAGTGACTCACTCACAAACTCACTTACTAAGTGACTCACTCACAAACTAACTCACCAACTAAATCACAACCTAACTCACTCACAAACTAATTCACTCACCAAATTACTTAATAACTAAATCACAACCTAACTCACTAACTACTCACAAACTCACTAACTAAATCAAAAACTAACTCACTCACTATGTGACTCACTCACAAACCAACTCACTAACTCACTAATTAACTCACTCACTAACTCTGACTCACAAGCTAACTCACTAAATCACAAACTCACTAACTTACTACATCACTTACAAACTAACCAACTGACTATCTAACTCACTCACAAACTAACTCACTAACTCAGAAACTAACTCACTCACAAAATAACTAACTCACTCTCACTCACAGGCTAACTCACTGAATCACAAATTAACTCACTAACTGATTAACTAACTCTCACTCACTAACTAAATCACAAGCTAACTCACTCACTAAGTGACTCACTTAGAAACCAACTCACTTACTCACAAACTAACTCACTAATTAACTCACTAACTCACTCACTAACTCTGACTCACAAGCTAACTCACTAAATCCCAAACTCACTAACTTACTACCTCACTTACAAACTAACCAACTGACTATCTAACTCACTCACAAACTCTCACTAACTCACTCACAAAATAACTAATTCACTCACTGACAAACTATCTTACTAACTCACAAACTCACAAAATAACTAACTGACTAACTCTCACAAACTAACTCACTAACTAAATCACTAACACAAATAACTCACTCACCCACTCACTTCCTAACAAATCTAACCAGTTAGCTAACTCACTCACTAACTAACTGACTGACTGACTGACTGACTAACTCATTCTCTCACCTATTCACTAATTAATTTACTAACTAATTAACTAAGTAACTCACTCTCTCACTCAAAACAAACTTTTACTGAAGGATCCGTATCCTACATTTTCTTGTATTTTTTTTCCCTTGAAATCCATGTATACTCTCTGTGTATGGGTTTATATACCGAAATTATTTATGTTTATGTGATTTTTTTCAACCTCTCTTTTAAACAGGCTGTTTTTGTTACTGTGCCTTTAAGACTAATATAGGTAAATAACCCCTGTTCTGATTGGATGCCAATTCTGTATCATATTGTGCCTTGTCAAAAAAGTCTGGGCTTCTTAAAATCCAGTGGGCAGTTGTGTCTATTAAGCGTGTTTGGAGTCTCTAAACTTCTAAGCGAAGGACCTGCACAGGAATTCGTCTTCATAGTAATCGACCGTACAATGCAGAATTGGCAAACTGAGATAAGGTTGAAAAACGCTGGAGTGTTCCTTTAATACAGCCTTCTGCAGAATAGGAGAGGATGGCAGGCTTGCAAAAGCCAGGTATAACAGCGATCTGACGTTGGCATGTGCCAGCTTTCACATTACAGGGCCACGTGGAGGCAGTTTCTTTCCCATCTGCCGGGAGGAAGCGTGTGTGCTAATCGAGGTCTAATTCTGGCTCGAGCCTTAAACTGCACTGGCAAGATAAACAGCACTGGGGTCCCTGTAGATTGAACTGGCCAGTCTGGCCACCCCTATTTAATTAAAAGAGCAAGACAGCATGTTCAGAGATTACATCCAATTACAGAAATGACATTCAACACATACTTGTACGTTGACCAATACTGATGGGAGCAATAAAGAGTTTCTTACAAGGATTTATTTTTTCACTCTTAAAAGTGCACAACTCACCTCAAACAAGCGTCGTGTCACGTTTTTCTATGTCACATACAAAAGCTTTGAAGAAAGATCCCACTAATAACCCAGTCACTTTGATTCAGCAGCAGGGTATTATAAGGCATTCACAAATGCACTTGCAGTTGGCGCGGAGCGTGGCAGCTGAAAAGCTCTCATCCTAGCCCACAGAGAGTGAGGGAGATTACGCTCTAATCCCATAACTACTGATTAGACAACATCTCCTGGGGTGTAAACAAACAAATCTCATCTCATCTCATAACAAAAATAGGACCCAACCACCGTACCAGGCGTCAGAGCCAAGGGAAAACACAAACGACAGCAGTCTTCTGGGGATAAGCGAGAGGTTGAGAGGGTTTAGAAGCAGAGTTCCAGCTTTCGGTTCTTTCCTACAGCGCTAACGAAGCCCCTGAAACAGACCAGATAAGCCAGGGCCCCTCTGAGCCTCATTGAGGATGATTAGGGAATCCACATGGGTCACTAAATTATCCCAATATGCTTTCCTTTCATGGCCTGAGCCTTGTTTTTAGCCAATAACCCCACTAGAGAATTCACCTAAAGACACTGCTATGTTTGCCAGCTTTATATTGGCGGAGTGCACCATATTTACAAGACACATTAACCATGGTAACTTTACAGGGAAAAGGAAAAAACATCCTTAACCCCTTATATGGAAGTTAAAGGGAAATTCCACTGGATTTTTCAAAATTTCTTGATAATTCAGTGGTTGGCATATAGACAGTCATTCAGAGTGTTTTGATGTGAAAGGCTCTGTTCAAGAGAAACATATCCACTCAGATTACTTTACAGTGGTGGTGATAGGAACCAGGAGTCACAGTGTCTACAACACAAATATAAACTCCTGCTCAAGGAAATGGGCCAAGCCCAAAATGGCAAAAACAGCTTTTAATTGTCTTAACAAATCATTAGTCAGTAAAATAGCAAGAATTAAACAAATAAAAAAAGTAAGTTAGTATGGGACAGCTTTTCTCCTATGTGTATTTTGCCATACAACATGCTGCATGTACCTCTCCACCATGAAAGGAATTCAAAATATATACTTTTTAGGACAAAACACTCTCAAACCAATCTTAATGTAACTTTCTGTGAAGGAAATTTTAGACATAAACTCTTTAGACCACGAACAATTCTGACTCTGACTGATTCTGCCAGTTTCTCTAGAAAGGAGCATTTCACATCAAACCACTCTAAATGACTGTATTGTGATAATTGAACTGCACATAAATTTTGAAAAATCGGTGGAATTTTCTTTTAATGGAAAAAGATTTTTTCCAAGTAATTTTAGAGCATTTCTATTTATCCGTATCCAGAAAATGGCACTTTCAAATGCTGTAATAAAAAAAAACAAAAAAAGAAGATTTAAGAATTTGTTCTAAAACAATATTCATTTTTAAAATAATTTCTCACTCAAACAGATTGTAAATATTCCATCCATGATTGTAAACAGAAGATGAGCTGTTTCATTATTTGAATCTGATCAAAATTTGTGCATATTGTCATATTCTGCTTTACTTTTCTGACACCGAAATAAATAAAAAAAGAAGCATAGACTCTGTTTATACAGAATATCAATGTGAATGTAATTACTAATTTAACAAACTGTGTAATTAATTTGTAATTACACAAAACAACAATTATAGCTCTATATAGTCGGTATTGAAAAAAATAGATTCTGTTGTTGAAAAATGTTAGCAGTAAACAACTGATGGAGTCATGCAGCCATGAAAATATTGCCATGGTGACAGCATCATCAAATGGATGATTCCCAGAGGACAAGCTTGGAAATGCTGATTGTTTATTTAGGGTAAATGCTCTGTACTCTTTTATGTATTTGTCATATAAGTGCACCTGGACTTCAACACTGAGATGCCCCCCCCAAAAACTCAACATCTGGTTCAGCCATGGTCAATGGCAAAAGCTGGCAAAATTGAACTCTTTATGGAATGTTCCACTGACCGCTGCGTTATGCTGCACTGCTGCTGGCATTGTCACTGTTCCAGTGAAAACAATGGAATATTTAGTTTGCCATCGACCGCCTACCATCATAGGGTAAACACAGGGTTAAATATGGCAGATATGCTGTTAGGACTGATAATGCAGGGCTTGGTTACCGGTCTCTCCATCATATAACTGACAGCTCTCACAGAAATTCATAATCATCCACTCTTGGTTTCTCAGTAACACACCTTTTCTGATCACCCTTCTCCCTCAGTAGTGGACAATACACTTAAAACTGCTGCCAGTGAGTGCCCCTTCCATACAGTGGAACATGTATGGGAACATGTATGTGCTGGACATAACGATGTCTGGTTTTGTACCTTGACCCGGCTCACGGCCTCCTGCGCCTGCATCATGCGGATGTTTTTGGATGGATTTCTCTCCGACAGCAGCTGGGTGGAGCCCAGATAGTTAGCAGCAAAAATGATCCCATCAATGAGGTCTTCAGGCTCACAGGGTCCAGGAACTGAAAGAGAGAGAGAGCGAGAGAGCATACAGATCATAGGTTAAAGACAGGCTTTCATGTACTGCTTCATATCTGCACTGAAAAAAGGAATGCAGAGAGCTTAAATATATCAAATGTAGAGCTAATTAATCACATTTTGTGTAGCTAAACTCGATTAATTGCATTTATCTTCTTTAGATTTGACACTAAAGCCAGATTTTCTAATTGTTATAGCTACATGAATGGACAAAATAAGTGACATAAGAATGTATTTATTACTTTCTATAATTCAATAACATTATTATCACGTGAACACCAAGTTTCATGCACCTGAACATAAGAAATTGATGTGATTACAGTTTCCAATTCTCATCACAGTGACAGCAACACTACCGACCCATCAGTGTATATATCATATACATCATTTATACAGTCAATGGTTCCAGCTACTGCATGACTGCAACCTCTCTGTTGATATATTTTATTCATGTGGAAATTATGTACACATTTCAAGCAAGTAAATTCAATGCCTCAGTATGCTGGAACAGCTGGAGCATCTGCTGACAGGAGTTTGTGGTTAAAGGAGCAGGAAGCAGTCTAACTGCTGTGATGAGATGATGGAACATCAAGAAAAAACATTCTTCTACAACTTTTGTTTTATATTCATTTGTTATGTTTTTTTTTTTTTTGGATGTTTTCAAACTCTCAGAGAAAGTCATGCTTTTCAGAGTGTGATTCTATATCCGGCAGAGTGACCAACACAGCTATTTAAAACCCCAGAACTCCAGCAACCAGTGTGTCAAACACAATGGGGTAAAGGAGAGTTTATGTGGCCACGGGGGCAATACAGGCACTCTGGGATTAATCGGACCGTGTGATATGGAGATGTGGACCCTGTGACGCCCACTGAGGGACATAGCCACCCATCAGCAACCAGCTGTGTTGGATGCCACAATTCAGAATATTAAGCTTTACATTCCAGTTCTTTCCTCAGTGGCTGAGGCTCAAAGAAAGAAGCACTCTTATATACCATGGTAGACTGTGGGGGGGAAAGTCAGAGACCACCTTTTATTTAATTAATTTCCAGGCAAAACAGCCATTAAGAACAAGTTATTCATTTTTCAGCATCAGGAAAAAAACAGAAAACAGATATTTAAAAGAAAATTAGATAAATAGATGATTGATAGATGGTGATGGATGGATGGATGGATGGATGGATGGATGGATAGATAGATAGATAGATAGATAGATAGATAGATAGATAGATAGATAGATAATTGCACATAAACTTACATATATCAGGCAGAAATAAAGACAGAAGTAAATATAGACATAAATAAGGCAGACATTTAAAAATTAGACATAAATTTAATATAAATATAATATCAAATTGTCCACTCTTTATTTTTATTACAGTTGTGGACATTTTCTGAAGCAAGAGTGGGTCTTGATTTTCTCCTCTCTCTCAAAGATGAAAGCTTTAAGTGCTGTTTATCTGATGGGGACAGTTTTGGTGTCCACCAGGTCTTCCAGGTGGTTGTTAGGAGTCCCATTTTTCTCTGTAGCTTTCAATCATTTTTCAGAAACTCCTGTTTTTTCACTTATTTTCCTTTGACTTTCACCTTCTTTTTGCAAGTGGGTGGATAATCTTATATCTAATCTCTTCAGAAACATCTCCTTAAAAAGAAATAACCTCTACTTAATGGCCACTTTGCCTGGAAAAGAAATAATCTCTATAATTAACCTAAATAATTTTTCACAGCTCCATATTTCCAAACATCTGCTCCTCCAGCTTTTCTTCTGAAATGAAGAGTGTTAATAGTTAGTTTGTTCTCATTTGCTGCAGTAACAGCCTCTACTCTTCTGGTAAGGCTTTATACTAGATGTTGGAACATTACTGTGAGGATTTGATTGAAGCCACGGGAGAATAATTGCGGTCAGGTACTGAAGTTCGATGATCAGTTCTGGATCATTTCAACTCATCGCAAAGATACTGGATGGAGCTACATCACTCCACAGAACGCAGCTCAACTGTAGCCCATGTTGGGCATAGGGCATGGTGACCTTAGGCTCATGTGCAGCTCCTCTAGAGGGTCCCATTCTATTGGTCAGTGCTTTTCTATGGAGGTTATACAAGCTGGATTTTCTGCATTTGAACACCTGTGTCAGTAATGAGTATACCTTAGTAGCTGAAGTCACTAATTAGAAGGACTGTCTGGATACTTTTGGAGTTTATTGTGTTTGTGTCACATACAGTGTAGTATGTGACACAAACACAATAAACTTTGGCTCTCAGACGTATCAAAATAAATGTAGAACAACTGCACTGATGCACTGCACTGTTTAAAGGATAAGATTAAACAGAAATAGCTGCTATTTAGTCCAGCATGAAAGGGTTAAAGACTGAAATAAAAGAAACCGTCCTTCTCAACAACCTCCTTTGTTTCAGTACTGCTTTTGGCAAGCGTTATGTTTGTGCATGTGCGCTGCTAACTAACACAGGAAGCGTCTACATGACTCTTCCCCATCGAGGACGAAATGAAGAAACATTTCATTAGAAAACACAAGCCCTGCAATCACTGCTCATTAAACCACATGACTCCGACCCCTTACACATCACACGCCCAAGCAAATTCAGCCATCATTTCAGAGACGTTAAAACAGAGAGAGAAATATCGGCTGCTTTTCTTCACTCTGCCACTGTAATCTTCTTACTCTGAATATTAGTTTTGATGTGGCACGTTTGTTTTCTCTTTTGATTTGAGTCTGAAAAGATTAAAACTTCTTGAGAAGATTATCTGAGGCAGATAAAAGGAAAATACAAAGTGTCCACTTACCGTCCACAAAGCTGGGGAACGATGCTGTCTTCTTCGACGGCTGGGAAATAAGGAGAAATACTGGATTTAGAAGAGCAGATGAGACATGCATATAAGTAATAAGTTTGTCTACTTCTTCGCAATTAGCAAAAAACAAAATGTAAAAAAAACTCTAGCACAAGTCTGGTTTTTGCAGTAAGAACTAAGACTTTGTTCACGCAGCAGGTAAAAGTGGCCCAAATCCGATCTTTTTCTTCATAAGTGACACAGATGTGTTGTCTGTGTGTCAGTATGAACAGATAAACACACTGAATCTGACATTTTCAATTCTGAGTATGTGATACTGAAATCCGATACAAATAGTCGTATTAGTTTAAACAATCTGAATAATAAATCAGAATGTTTGATGAGCAAGCCACACATCAGCAGTTTGGGGGGGGTGAGGAGGTACTTTTCAACTGTTTTTCAAATAATGTCTTAGAAATTGTTCTTGTGCTTTATTTTTCCATCTAAAATCCATTTAGAACATTTGTGTTGCTTTATGTACCCGTCATAATTCATTTTGCATGATCCTGTATTGCACCTCATTTAAAAAGTAGTCTGAACACTTCTTATAACTTCACTGTGAATGGGTGGGGCTAAACTGCTGTAGGTTGAGCAAGAGGATATATGTAAATGCGGTTTCTGTGACATCACCAAAAAGTGAATTAAAAATGGGCTGTTTTTACAGCTCTGTTACCCTATATGGGCCGTATGGGCTGTGAGGTGAACTATATGTTTTGTATGAATTGTGTTTACATACTACAATCTACATATGGTTTTTGGTTTTTGTCTGCAGAAACAGGCTGTGTTTGCAGCTTAGTTTCCATATATGGACTGCATGGAAAGGCTGAATTGGACATATTGAAATTTTAAGAATATTTATATTGTCACTGTCTAAAGAAAAACATGCATCTCCATTTTTTGGCAATTTTTATTATTCTACATCAATTCAACACACCAGCTGTCCTGTACGTTGTGTGAATTTGAATGGATCAATAGAAATGCTCTAAAATCACTTGGAATAAAACCCCTTTACATTAACTTACACTAAAAAGTAAGAGTGTTTTTTCCCTCTCCTGTGAAGTTACTATTTAGGAATTACTTGTTTTTCTTTGGACAGCGACGAAACAAAAGTGAGAGAAATTGCATTTTTCATTATATGGGCTCTTTAAATTTTACAGAAATTTCCCCTTCCTAATGTACAGTACTAAAGCACTCTGAATGGTGAACTAGTTCATGACACAGGAAACCTGCAGTCAAAGTTAATCGCAGGTCAGTCGGACAGCACACAAGGTCACGTCAGTAATTCAGGCTGTGCTCTCTCCAGGGTTGCGGTGAGGTCTCTGAGCCAGAGATCCTGCAGCGGACTGAGTAATAGCCATCACTTTAAAACACAGGCACCCGGACAGAAAGTCAGCATTAAGAGAGTATGCCCATTAATTGCAGTCTAGGAGGAGAGGGCCCAAAGCCGCTTCAGTCAGGCTAATTAAATGCAGGCCAAAAGGAGAGCAGCGAGGAGTGCATAAACAGGCTGCAACAGTGCTCGGCTGTGCTTCTGTTGTCTCCGATCACCGCAAAGTGACCTAAAAAAACTTTCACACTCTGTCACCCTGTATTATACTGCCCGGAAAATACAGCATAACAGATTTTAGAGTTAAGCTACTTGCACAGCGGTCTGCAGCAAACTGTATGAGAATAAGTGCTGCGTTCAACAAGAGGCCCTAAAAAATTTTGTCTATTTCCAGGACTTAATGAATAATTAGCTTGATGATAACTGCTTAACTGCTCTCTGCTATGCTCCACAAATGGAGAAAACACAAGAGAGGCGCTCGCTGAACGACCTTCAAAAGAAGAGCTCCTCTCAAATCAAACAAAATTTCCAGCTGCTCTAATTGAGCCATTGTTCTTTGCACTTAGGAACCAAACTTGTGACTTCATTTGAATGCATCTGAATGCAAATTAAACACTAATTATTCACTATGCAATTACCCAGCAAGAATGACTATATTTTAACAATTGCTACTCTTCCATCAAGCACTGCATTAGCCAAAATTAAAACATTACATTAAATATTTGAGTGACCTTCATATGCCATTTGTTTCAAGACAATTTAAAAGCCCCACAGCTGGAGAACCTCTCTTAAAGAGCCCATGTCAAAGCAATTTCCCTCACTTTTATGAATTAAGAGTTTAATGTAGTACTTTTCAAAACATTCTGTTTACTTCACAGCAAATATGACCCATATAGGGAAACTAAAATAGCCCGTTTTTTTTTTATTTGTTTTTGTGACATCATAAAAAAGTGCATTTACAAAAGTCTGCCTATTCAGCCAACAGCAGTTTAGCCCCTCCCGTTCACACTAAAGTTATAAGAAATGTTTCAGCCTGGCCTGCTTTTCGAATAAGGCAGAATAACATCATTTACAGAGATTATTTGTATGCAGTCATATGCAAAGTTTTGCAAGCCCCTGATCACATGATGTGTTTTGTTGATTGTCTAAGTGAAAATGTGAGCAAACTTCTGCACATTTTAATGCACGATTACTGTTTATTTTCTGAATTGAACATTTGGAATTCTGGCACAATTTATATTTAACTTTTTCCCAATATGTTAAACTCTGCAAATAAATAAAACGTGCATTGAAATTTGCAGAAAATGCCATATCTCAGTGTGTTCCCAATAAGGATGTGTGGACGTATTTTGACTTAGATAATCAATAAAACATGTAATTTGGCTGGGGGTGTTATTTATTTCTATGTTATTATTCAATTATTTCTATAGGACAAAGCAAGGTCTAAAAATGGCACTTTTTAAAATGTAAATAAAAAAATGTAATTATGTAAAATTTAATTATGGATATTTAATCGGATAATAATCAGATTTCTGCAGTGCATCTGACTATCCAAACTGTCATGTAAACAGCATACTCCGATTTCTTAGATCAGAGTAAGATCTAGAAATCTGATAAAGAGAGCTGGATTTTAGCTCAGTAATCAGATTTCTCAGTGCATGTGAACTCCTACTCTGATTTGTTTTGGATTTCTTAGTCTGCGCATGTGCAGAACAGACAGCAGTACCAGAAATAAGTGAGCAATGTTGCCACTTTTGGAGCGATGCTGAAACCAAACACATGCTTGACGAAATTAAAGATTTAAATATTCTTCATCTTCTAGATGATATATGTTAATTTTTTCAGGTAAAGTGGCTTGACGAAGAAAAAAACAAACTTTGAGATTTACATTAAGTTTACGTCACGTCTTCTTCTGTGGGTTTATTGGCTGGTTGTAAAACAGAAATCTGATTACTGCCTGACTCATGTAGACCCTGAGTTTTCCCATTATCTGATTACTCAAGCACACGTAAACGCGTTGATCAGATCACTGACAAAATCTGATTTTCTGCAGTTGTGTTATTATTAAGTGCATGTAAATGCACTCAGTGAAACCACACAAATGTCAAAATGACTGAAATTGGACTTCATGGATAAAAATAAAATACACAAATATAGAAAACTGGCCCTTTTAGTGACTGCACAGACAGCCCTCTGCTACATAGGGAGCGTAATAGGAACAGCTCTTATTGTGGTTGTATACGAGTCTCTGTAAGGGCCTTCTCTGTGGAGAGGCGTTGAAGCAGGCTGGTCAAGGCTGAGCGCTCCTTTCTCCATGTAAATACAAAGCTGTCAGTCTCCATGGCTGTGCAGGCGGAGGTGAAGCCGATTCACTTCCTCCATCAACAGCGTGAGTGAGGGAGGAGAATGAGGTTGCAGTGCTCAAACAAGACAGAGATACAGGAGAGGGGAAAAAACGGCTGGATTGTTTTCCACTACATATGAAGGAAGTGCTGCATGGAATTTACTTGATTGAAATCATCATATTTCCACATGAATACAGTATTGTTGTTGTTGGAAAACAGTTATTGAAATATTTTCTTGACTTTAATGTATGTTAATGGAACCAAGTAATTCCAAGTAATTCAGGACCATTTCTACAGAAGCCCATTCCACCCAGACAGATTACAATCCCCCCCAACTCCCCCTCCACTGTTTCTGGCAGCATTATAGGAGTTTACTTAGTATCTTGAAATATGGATTTAAAATAATGATTAATCATTAATGACTTATTTTATCAAAGTACTGACTTAGTGACTAAACATAATGGCTTATTTTCTCAAAATATCAGCTTTGTATCTCAATTACAGACTTAGTATCACTGATCTCAAGATTTTGAGTTATCAAGACAAAATTCTGATTACCCATTTGAAATGAGTTACTAAACTTGAAATATTTTTAAGATTTTGGGATAAATAATTAATGATAATTATTAAGTCATTATTTCAACATATGTAGTCAACATTTTGAGAAAATAAGTATTTACTTTTAGAAACTCTTCTTCTAGAAGACATTTTTTTGACATTATTTTGAGGAAATAAGTCATTATTTCAACAGAGTAAGTCATTATTTAAAAAAAATAAGCCATTATTTTGACACGATAAGTATTTTTTAAAGAAAGTAAGTCTGAATTTTAATATACTGCTGCCACAAACTGAAAGTTTGTACATCCATACAACTTGCATATTGCACTGCCACTTGTTTATACACATATGCATATATGACTATTAACATATGTTATCGTTTACAGTGTTTAGTCACTCGGTTCATCTACTGGACATGGCATGCACCACTGCATTGTCACCTGCATAATATTTATGCAAATTTAGTTACTTTTTTGTACTGCACATTACATTTTATGGTAGTTTTAGTACATTTTATTATATGTTTCTATTTAAGCATCTGCATAATAGCATATGACAATACCTTCACTCTTGTTTTGCTCTTTATCGCAATTTGTGCTGCTGTAATAGACGACCTATCTATCCATCTATCTATCTATCTATCTATCTATCTATCTATCTATCTATCTATCGAACTATCTACTGAGCGAGCGAGCGACCGACCGACCTACCGACCTACCGACCTACCTACCTATCTATCTATCTATCTAAAGGGAGAAAGAAATTATAGGCAATGTTTTCCTCTTTTGGCTGCCACACGACTTTGCATACTGTTCTACTAATCCATATACCATTCTTCACATAATGTAAAAGACAGCTGACATTTTCAAATGATGCAAAAACACAAAAAAACACAGTTACAAGGTTTCTGACATGTCAACAATGATGTATTACATAAGCAATTTTGTCTTTCAGTTTACTTACTTTTGGCAACAAATATATTGACTGTATATCCTTCATTCATGTGGAAAGGATGCACACATTTGAATCAAGTAAACTGACTGCAGCACTTTTATATGTATAAACAGTGAGTCAGTGAAGGAATTTGATTGGCAGTCGTATTTTTCCTGCTCATCACTGCTGTGAATTATGTATGAAGTAAATTGGCGAACAGTGTGTGGCTCTATAGGTCAAAGGTTAATAGATCCACCTCGGGGACGTTGTTGTTCTCCAGCGGGCCGTTCAGATCAGATCGCTGCTGCTTCCTCGGCTGTTCTGCACTGTTAGACACCTAAACATACAGAGGGAGAGAGAGAGAGAGAGAGAGAGAGAGAGAGAGAGAGAGAGAGAGAGACGGACAGAGACAGAAAAAAAACAAGTGACAGAGAAAGAGGGGAGAGAGAGAGAGAGAGAGAGAGCAAGGGGGAGAGACAGAGAGAGAGAGGTATGTGAGACAGGTACAACATCAGAAAAGCCTCTATCAGCACAGGAAATGAGTGGTGGTGGGATGGTGGGATTTCTCCAGGGCCGTAAACCCTGCAGATATCAGAAAGGTGATACTAAACCTGTCAAACAGATGGAGATCTACAGATGGAGGACAGACAAGATCAAAGGGAAAAGTGAAAAAAGCAATTCATTTGTCCCTGTGGTCAGACACAGTGCACCATACAGCTACACGTGCACATCTTACATATACACACACTATAGATACACACACTATACACACACAATTCAATCAATTTTAATATCAACAGAAAAGCAGCCTCTCTTTCTCTGCTGGACATTCAAAATCTCTAATTAGTGCTATTCTGTCTGCTCATCATTACTTGATCAAATGCATTTGTCATGTGGCTTTCCTCCAAGGCATGAAATGAGGCTGGATGCTAATAGAACGCCCTCTGCTCTAGTCCAGTTACGCAGACAAATCAAGATAGCGCCCCTTCAAAACTGACCGTTACCCAGTCTAATTGAAACATTTAAAGGTCAGAAATGTTTGAATCCTTTTAGAACATTTAACTGTGCATCTAAAAGGCAATCTAAAGTAATTTTCCTGTGTTCTTTTTGTCTTTACTACCAGCTTAACCAGCTTTACCAGCATGAGCAGCTAAAGCCCTGGATGAAGCCATGGAGAAGGATGCGAGGAAGCTCGCTATAGCCTGTTCCTCTAGCCAGCAGTGGAAACGTCCCATCTGTTCTATAATGCAGCACTATTACTGAACTATTTCAATGCAAAATCATCACCATCGTTTTTTCACCATTTGAAATTACCAGCAGCTTTTTAGATTGTGTGAACATTACATGATAAATGGACCAACAGAAATGGTCAACAACTACATTAACATTAACAGGCATTACAGTTAAGAATGTTTTCCTTTCTCCAATAATTTCAGGTTTTGTTGATTTCCTGGGTGAAAGTAAGTTAACACATCCTCTACAAACTTAAACTATGACATTTTCCTGCAAAGTTTAGTGCACAATTACTGTTCATTTGCTCAATTTAACAGAACGGAAAAATATATAATGTGGCCTCTGCACAAGTAGGTGACTTATTTTTCAACAGAACATGCAATTTAAGCAGGGGGCACCCAAACTTTTGCACGTGTGTACATTTCACACATACACACACACACACACACATATATCTATCTATCTATCTATATATATATATATATATATATATATATATATATATATATATATATATATATATATGTGTGTGTGTGTGTGTGTGTGTGTGTGTGTGTTTATTCATTTATTTATTACAACCTTGTCATGGACATTTCTTAAAGGGGAACTCTACCAATGTTTCCAAATTTCCACATAATCCAGTGGTTAAGATAGTTGAGCAAACTAAGTCATTAAGAATGTGTTTTTTTTTTTGGTGAAATTGTAAAGAATTAAGTTAAGTTACCCTTTATTAATCCCACAATGGGGAGATTCACCTCTGCATTTAACCCATCTGTGCAGTGAAAGACCTACATACACACTAGTGAAGGCACACACAGCGGCCAGGGAGCAGTTGGGGGTTAGGTGCCTTGCTCAATGGGCATTCGGTCATGTCCTACCAGCTCAGGGGATTGAGCCGACAACCCTCCGGTCACAAGACTGGTTCCCTAACCTCCAGCCCATGACTGCCCCCTGAAGTGTACCGACTCAGATTTCTTTGCAGTGGTGGTGACAGGAACCAGGGGTCTACAACACAAATGCAGCCATTTTATGTACTACTCACAGCCAAGGAACCAACATGTGTTTTTTATGTTATTTTGATGATGCTAAAATAGTGATAAATCAGAAAAAATAAGGTTTTCTGGGGCACCACTGTGCTTTACTATGCCTCTCATGAATCTTTCAACTGTTAGATGGTGTTTAAATAAATATGTTGTAGGCCAAAACTATCATAAAACAAATGTCCCAGGCATTAAGCAGCAGCATGTCTGCAACCACGTAATAACTTCATGTAATAACCTTCTGTGAGGGAGGCGTTAGAGGCGTTAAACTCTTCAGACGTCTGCTTTCTGTCACCACTGTGAACTACTCTGACTGGCAAGTTTCTGTAAAATGGGCTATTTTATATTGAACCATTCTGAATGACTTTGTTTACAGCGAATTACACAGAATTTTTTGAAAAATCTGTGTAATTCCCCTTTAATAGTCTAGCATCCTTAGTCTGTCTTGTATGTTAGACATTAAACATATGTATGCACAATTGCTGTACATGTAAAACATCTGGAAAAATAAAATTCATTCTAATTCTAATAGCCTGACCCTTCCTCACGCAGTCCCTGACCTCTCAATACCATGACAAATAGTCCAACAAGCACACAGAAGCTTGGGTCAGAGTGAATGTCTCTTTCCAGAAATTTTAAACATCACAAATTATTTGGAAGGACCGCGGAGCAGCTGTGCATATTTTGAGAAGGTCAGAAGGTCATTTAGTTTACATTTGTGTGTTTAGCAAGAAAGGAATAGTTTCAGAGCAGCTTATGAGTGAACACCACAAAGTGTTTTCCAGCCCAGAGCAGACAGGGGGCTTACTCTCGGAATTTCAATTCAATTCAAGTACTATTTCAATTTCAATAGCACTGGACTGTGAGATAATCTGGGCTCTGAGATCAGGGAAGAGAGTGGACGTTCAGGGACCAGATTTATAAAAGAAAGCAAACAGTAACAACTGAGCTAAACACTGAGAGGTTCTCAAAAAAAGAGACTTCATTCTCAAATATTCCCTTAAGACCTCATTATTGTTGTAAGTAGGCCATTAAGTTATTCATCACGTAGCCTATCCTAGCCTAGCCAATGTCAATCACAATTTTCAGTCTTTCACAGACGGCTAAAACAGCATGAAATACAATTTGAATCGCTTTAACCATTAGCTTTAGCCTTTAGGCTATTTCAGTTGAATTTGCTAAGTGTGTTAAGAGAACACCAAAATGGAGGAAAAAACACTTTAGTAAACAAGAACTGGAAGTGATGGTAGAGTCATAATGTGTGTAGTAATGCTTGTAGTAAGTCAATATCAACTACAGAGCATAGGAAAATACATACTGCTGTTAGCTAGCTAGCTAACAACAACTTCTAAAGACTCACCTTATCAGCTCTCTCAATATCAGACATGTAAACCTACAGTAAGACTGCTAAACATTTAAGAACATATATTTTTTTTATTGTATTCTTAGAACGGCTCTTAAGAGATGTGGTAAAAAAAATTACTTTTTTTGATGGAAAAACGTTTCTTCTTAAAGGGGAATGCCAGCGTTTCTTCAAAATTTCGGCAGAATTCAGCCATTAAGGTGTGAACAAAATCATAGTGGTTTGATGTGAAATGGTTCATTATAGAGAAACGTACTGACTCAGATTCCTTTACAGTGGTGGTGACAGGAACCAGTGGTCGCGATATCTACAACACAAAAACAGCCATTTATTTACTATCTAAAACCACCACTGAACATATTTTTCTGTATAATGTTGATTATGATAAGTGGTAAATGAACACTTTTCTGTGGGTACTATTTTGCTTTACAGCAGCTGCATGTCTCTCTCTGCCATGAAAGGATTTTAAAAAACGCATTTTAGGGCAAAACCTTATCTCAAAACTGTTGTGAAACAATGTCTCAGGAATTTATATTCATAATTCATGTTCATCTTAATTTCAAGCAATAACTTTCTCAGACGGAACTTGCACTAAATGATTCAGACGTCTGCTTCATAACACTGTATCAACTGAATCTAAAGGTAAGAAAAATTTATATTTAAGAAGATTTAAATGGGGAAGAAGAAATAGGGGTGACTGATGCTAAGTGGAGATGTGGTAAATTTCCAATCTGGGGAAGTAACTTCACTCTCATCCTACTCATTGAGCTTCTGCTTCTGCTTGTCAATCATATTCTAAAAAGAATAACCTGTGCACTGCCATGTCCAAGGTCTTTATCAGTTCGATAGGGAATAACCTTAAGCAAATATTGCACCTTTAAGAGCAAAACAAACTTGCTGGCGTGAAAAAAGCTTGTGACGTTCACAGCATTAAAGAGTTTCGTTGAAGCATTAAGTAGCTAGTGAATGCAAAATGCTCGCATACTTCCCAAACTATGCCATAAGCCATGTTTACATGCAGCCTGATAATCTTTTAATAATCTGAATATTATCTTAATCAGAATAGAATATGTCCATGTAAACACCTCAATTGGACTAGACTAGTCTGACTGAGGCCATTCGAAATGCAATTTCTATCCAATTGAACGAGGTGGGTAATCCTGTAAATAATCCGATAAATAGAAGAATAATAACCATGTAAACGTCTGAATCTGATTACATTCCCAATCGGAAAGTTTAAGTAGGTTCTGATCATGTGCGTCACGTCATAGTGAAAGTTTATAACGTTCAGCATGGCGGAGCAGAAACTGGTCTGCAGAGGAGACGAAGTTTATGCTTTGAGCTTTAAAAGACGGCGGTGGGACGGACGTCCAGCTTATATGTCTCAGAACACGACGTCTTCCTCTCGGCCTTCTTTAATAAGGACATGTGAAGGACATTTTACTGAGTCTGAAAGCATTTTAAAGCAATTAAAAACACAAGCACTGCTCACTGCTGCTCATCTCACTCTGACTGGACTCACGTGATGCTTGTTGTCATGGCAATGTTTACGTTTTTCTGTACGCATGCGCATCATTTTGGATCAGATTACTTGTAGTAAGCATATAAATGCAGATTTTTCATCAGATTGTTGAGTAGAGTGAGCATAAACACCTCAGTCTTAATCTATAATCTGAATGTTTAATCACATTGGCAAAAATCTTTGCATGTAAACACAGTCACTGTGTTTTACCTGGGTCTGTTTTTGCATTAGCACCGTTTGAAAATTCCTACTCATCTCACAAAAAACACTTGGCTTGCTAGATGAATTAGCTAACTTGACTGGTTGCGGAGCAAAGTTAGGAATTTAGATGATCAAAGCCCATCTTGTTTTCTCTAAGAAAAACAAGGAGGCAGGAAAAACAGATGTGTGTTTATGTAACAGCATTAGCAAACCTCTCTGAGAAACCGTAGTGAAGCAACTACAGTTTTGGGATGACTTGAAAAAAGCTTTGATTACGCTGGCCTTGATCTCCGGAGACATTTGGACGCCTCCAGTTGTTGGAAGACTGCATGCTGCTCTCGTTTCCTCTGAAACTTTTAGCTCAGTAAACAAACTAAAGTATATGACATTGTACACATTAAGTATCCAAATGAACTGCAGGAAATGTACAGACAAAATCTTCTCAGAGAGAATTATGAGTCAGTACAATAGCTTCACAAAGAGCCATATACTATGTGCATAAGACAGCATGCCATTCATGTCCACACTATTAATACATTATAGACAGAAAGAGGACTCAGTTTCCATCATATTACATCATATACGACAGGAAATGTCTTAAGAGCACATAAAGAAGAACTGCACTGTCTGAAACCATTCCCTTGTGTTTTCTGACAGGCAGTCTTTGTTGTGATTTTGACATGGTTCCTTTTTTGAACCTACCCAAGGTGTCTTTATTAATTTTTACCTTGAGACCAGAATTAAATCTAATTTCTGTTTATATTCAGACAAAATGTGTCTCATTCTTAGCTGCTTTGGTTTTTGGGTTTTTTCGAGGCAGAATGGGTGAGCAGTGCACAAACTAACGAGGGGTAAAAAATTACATGGACATTTTATAGGACGGCATATGGAGAGATATTGTTCCAGACTGTTTATGTATCATAAAAGAAACTTTTTCTACATATCTGTATTTTGATTACTGACTTCTATGTATAAGTCACAGAAATCACACCTATATTTGATCTCCTTCTTGGTGGTTGTTTTGAAGCATGTAAATGACTCACAGTGAGAGCTAGCCTGGCTACAGCCTCCACATGAGGGGGTTCATTTTAACACTAAGCCTCCCAAGGTAAACAACGAGAGAACATACAACCTCCTAGTGGGGGTTAACACTTAGTCTGTCGTGCCACTCACTGGCTCCTAAAACTACTCTGATTTGTGTGTCCCTATGTTTAATACACTGTAAAAATATTTTTTAACTTAGTAATGAAATAAAATGATCATTGTGAGTCTGAACCCCAGTGATGCCACAGCCATAACTGGGAGCACAAAGGGATAAAACACCTGTCTGATATAAGGAGTTCCAGTTAGTTGGAAAACTGAGTAAAAAGGAAATTCTATTGTTTATTCAACTGAGAAACTGTATATGTGAGTTTGAAGAACTTTTGACTAAATTAGCTTGAGCTGGGTGAACTCTAGTGTCCTCAAGTTAACTCATGTAAAGCAGTGTAATAAGTGTGACCTTATAATTTGAGGGTTGAGCTGACTTTTTAGCTGATTTTTACAGGTGGGGGTGGACATACTGTTTTACTTTTCCACCACTTTGGGCTGAATTTTGGTTATAAACATTAGGTCTGCATTTTCATATGTAGCAGAGATGTATAGGTTGCTTGTATAAAAATATTACTTATCTTGCTTGAAACATTTCAAAATTATTAATGTATCTTCTATCTATTATTACTTAGCAAAGTCTATTTCAGCTGTATAAATACAAAATGTAATACAGTTAATTAGCTTGTTCTCAGTAAACAGCTGAAGGACATGCTGTGAGCTTTGAATAAATGAAGCGGTTGTTGTAACTTTTCCTGTTCTTTCAAACTTAACTCAAATTAATACAAATTATAATTAATACAAATTCAGTAATTGTGAAGCCCTTCAACAGACAGGTGTGGTAGAATAAAAAAATCATAATACTGCTTTGCTCAAAGGGTTTGAAACTCACTGAAAGAGTAAGCTGCCAACAAAAAGGATGGTGTTAATCTATTTCAAAAACACAGACTTACTTTTTTAAAAACGTGACAATTCAACACCACCACAGCAACGCTGTCAAACAATGAAGGCCAGAAAACACATTCCGATATGAACCTCTATTAAGAGATGACGAAAACTTCATAATCTAGCTATATCAGAATGATGCATTTGGCCTCACTGCAGCCATTAGGCTATAATGAGTGAACCTACGGCCAGAATGAATGCGTCTGAGCTGTGTACCATGGGCACTTTAACGCTCAATTGCTGTCTCCAGTTAAACATAGTACTAATTCTGCTGATTAACTCTTCTGAATATCCACAGTTCTGTGCAAAAGTCAGAAACAGTCCCCTCACTTATTTAATTTCCAGTCAAAACAGCCAGCAGGTACAACCCTGTTTCCCCATTGTTATGATGTCCAGCTTGTAACAATAGAAGCTGGGTGCCATATAGAACCGTCTATAGCACATTCAAGCACATTTTCCATCAATCTGAAGAACGCTTTCATGAAGCAAGGAACTCTTTAATTATGCAGAGGGTTCTTAAAGTGTTCATGGTTTTATATAGAACCATTTTCTTTTCTAAAGAACCCTTGAAGAACCTTTTTTTGCATTCTGTTTATATTTACAATTTGCACCACGTCCCAACTTTTCTGGAAATGGTGTTGCACAAGTTATTCATTTTTCAGGTGATATTTCTGAACAGATCAAACATCCGTCCATCAGTCTATCACTCAATCTGTCCACCAATCTATCCGTTCATCCATCCACCTATTAATCCACCCATCAGTCTATCATTCAATACATCTATCCATCGATCTAACCATGCATCCATTCATCAATCCACCTATCTATCCCTCAATCCATCCATCAGTCTATCATTCAATACATCTATCCATCGATCTAACCATGCATCCATTCATCAATCCACCTATCTATCCCTCATTCCATCCATCCATTTATCAGTCCATGAATCCGTTGATCAATTTATCAATCCATCCATCAAACAATTCATCTATCAATTTGTCATTCCATCAATAAATTTATTAATCCATCCATCCATGCAATTAGTCAATCCCTTCTTTAAAACAAGGACATTCACAATATTAGTTTTGCAGAAGTGTGCAATATGCAAATAAGTCTCTGACCAATCACTGAATGCTTCTTTGTGCACTCTGAGCATCTTAGCCAATCACAGATCATCTTAGGTTTTTGGAAAAAATCAAGGCGTTCGCATGATTCAACAAACCTACATAACTTTGGTAAAAAAATAATCACACATTACATCAACATTCATTAAAATAATAGCATTTGAATGGCACATTGCAATATGTAGCAATATAATTGCAATGTGTTCTTTTGAGCTACCACACTACTGCATTAACTCCCCTCTAAAAGCATCCTCTCCTTTGCTGACTCCATTTGTGAACAGCTTATCTTGATATATCTTTTACCTGTTCTCTGACCTGCTCCTGTGCCCACCTCCTCTGCTCCTCCGGGGTGCGGGAGCGTCCCTTCACAACCCTCTGTGGCTGCGGGTTGTGCCCAGCTGGGGGGATGTTGAGGGATTTGGGCCTGCCATCGTGGCGGTGGGGTTGGGAAGGATACGGAGCAGCAGCGGGTTCAGCCTTGGGCGGAGCTTCAGGCTGGTAGCGAGCAGGTGCTGGCTCCGCCCCCAGCTCCTCTGGGCTTTGGTCCGTCCCGCTGCTGAGGCTGCCCATGCTCATACTCATTTTAATCTCAGCCACAATCTGATCAATATCCTCCTCTGTCTCCTCGCCTGTCTCACCCTCTATGCCTTTGTGGCCCCTGTATGAGTTCCCATTGTCCTCTGGGGCGTAGTAGTCCCCTGTGTATCTCTCCCTGTCCTGTTCTTCCTCTTCTGGCTCTTCTTCATCATTGGGGCAGTAATCCTCACTTTCCTCCCCATCCTCTTCCTCATCCTGGTCTCGGACCGGAGGCGGAGCCTGGTCCTGGTGGGCTTCTGCGTGATGGTGGTGGTGATGGTGGTGATGATGGAGGCTTTGGTGGTCCAGGACAGGTTCTGGCCTGCCGTCGTAAATCTGCTGGTCCGAGTCCTGCTCCTCCAGAATTTCGCAGCGCACCTCCCCACTCTCCATGTCCCCCTCCCCTTCTCCCTCTGCCCACTCCTCCTCCACCGCTTCCTGGCACTCATCTGTATCCGGCGGTGGCTCAGCCCGGACCGTCCCATACTCGCCCTCCTCGTTACAGTCCACACCCTCTAGGTAGCTGTCATCCTCCGGGCAATAGCGAATGTAGTACGTTACCCCCTCATCTTCTTCCGGCAGCCCTTCATCGTAATCTTCCTCCTCCTCCTCTTCCTCTGATGTATTATTGACGTAGTCCGAGCTGGAGTCTCCATCCAGGCTGTCCGGATGGCCACGGTAGTCGGTGTGGGCGTGGTCCGGAGTGGTAGGAGTAGTGGGACGGCTGTTGGGCAGACAAGCCCCCTCCTGGTCGCAGTAGGGAGGCACAGGGGCTTCGGTGTCCTGCTGCTCCTCATACTCCTCCGGGGGGCACTCTGTGGGGGCGCTGGGGTAGGGGGCATGGAGCTCTGCTGAGGCCATGCTGCTGCTGCTGCTGGCCCCAGGCCTCTTCCTCTGAGCCATAGAGAGAGCCGCTTACTGGCCTTCCATCACTGCAGGTCCTCTGTTCTGCCACACACATAAAAAAAAGAACATTACCATTAAAGAGGTTTCAAAATAATCACCAGATACATTTTAACTAAGGCTATTTCTATCATCAATTAATGTATCGACTATTATTTGAATAATCAACTAATCTATTATTACCTATGATCTTCCAAATGCAGACACCACCATTCGATTATCTCTGTTCAACAAGTGATCTCTTCCTTTATGGTGCTTTAGCTGCAGCCGATCGAGGCTAAATTGACTGTTCATTTTTACAGAAAAACACTACAAAGTCACTGAACTCAAAAAACAAAGCTGAAGGCCTAAACAACTGCCGACCTTAATGAATGAGATTATATATGCAGGCTCTGCCGAAGTCTATTGATCCCCTCAGCCAAGCATCAGCAGCCCACTCCCACCCTGCAGGACTCAGAGACTCTTTAACTGCTCAGTGCGTGATCAATTACTGCTATCGAGCTGGACAGATCATTTACGAGATCCACATGTTTCCCAGCACCTCTACTATCAGCTCATTGCCACTAGGGCTGGACAAGTACTGAAAATATATATTACATATTGTGGTTGCAAAATGCTTTGCAGTATATTAAAAACACAATGGTCAGTCAATAATGTGACACGGTTACAGAATGGTCTGTCTTAGTCTTATTTTGACTGAAACAATTTACTTTTGTTGGATTATATGAACCTTGCGCTAATGTGGAACAGTAATCGGTCAGGATGCTCACAGCACAAGGTGGAAGCACAGTGTTAGCATGGCAAAGGCGACTATTGTGACTGCAAGCAACAAATGCAATGTTTTGCAGGCTTTCTGAGTGATGGACTGCAGGTGTGGGACTACGGTCCACTTGATATGAAAACTGTCAATTTGTAAACATGTTGCTGAAACCATTATAGATTTTAGGACTTCTGATAACTGAAATTATCAGCTCATATAATTTCATATTGGACAAAATTATGACTCAACAGTTTTAGTTTAATACAATAATGCTTTACTGGCAAATATCATCAAATTTTATTACGTAAATTATCAAATATGATTGTTCCCATCTGCCCTGTGGTGGACTGGTGACCTGTCCAGGGTGTTTCCTGCCTTCTGCCCAATGAGTGCTTGGATAGGCTCCAGCACCCCCTGCGACCCAGGAGGATAAGTGGCTTAGAAAATGAGTGTGTGTGAGTGTGAATGTTCTCAACTGTCAAAAAATGCAGAAACTCACAAAGTCTTTAATAATATGAATTAGGACTGTCAAAGTTAGCGTGTCAATTATGCTAAAGTTGAGCTGCAGCGCACTAAATGTTGCTAAGATAGAAGCTGCGTTTGTACTGCAGTCACTCAAATACAGCTTTTAAATGGCTTTTAAAGCAATACTTGCAGAACCTTTAGCAGATTACACTGAACAGTGCTTGTAGGAGACCTATGGATACCTATGGATAAATCAACAAGCAGCTAACTAACAAAAGGAGCAGCAAGGTGGAGCTTCAGTTCTCCACAAGAGCCTCCACTGCAACAATAATCCAGGAGCTGTATGAACGAGAGAGGAGTTTGATCCACTGATTATATATGTGATATATATGACATATGATATATATGACACTCATTCACATGATGAAAATAATGTTAACAAAAGTAATATTAACAAAAGTAATATTCTGATGGAGCTTATTCTGTCCACTCATATAGCTGGATCAAACTGTTATATAAATAAATTTACAAATGATTCATAAAACTCTTACAAATGAATCTTACAAGGTTAAACTTTTTGTTTATCAATGCTTTATCAGTGCAAATTCAGCTGATGCTAATAAACCCATGGAACCTCAATATTGTCGATTTTAGCACCCAAACAATACATATTGGTGAAGTCCTACTGCAGGCATGAGAATTCAGATAAAAGCAGCCTGTGTTTCTCTACTTCATTAGGCATCGACAACTTCAAAGGCACTTGCCTCCACAAGGTCATCAACACATGGAAAATATTCGTGAGGAATGTAATGTGTGACGGATTTGCGGATGGTCGCCGGTCTCATCCGTCTTGGGGTTTATTGATCAGAGCACGGCGGGGTGGGGAAGGACACAGCTGAGGCAGGATTAATCTCATAGACCACAACTGTGCCTCAGCAGGGCGTGGCAGTGAGCGCGGGGAATTACAGAGCAAGTTTACGACTCTGCTGCTACTGTTGACTGTCCAGCAACAAACTCAACCTCATTTGAAAAACCAATTAGACGGCGGGGCAAGAAGATAAATGATGCTAGGACTTCTCCACACGCTGCGTAATCGAACGCAAATACACACACACAATGGCTCTGTGCAGTTTGGAGAAGAGAGAGGAAAAAAAGAAAAGCACGGTCGGTATTTTCTCACTGTGCCATCCCCACCAGTAGCCAGCAAAGACAGCTCTCAGAGGGGCTTTTGTTGCTGCTCTACTGCTCAATCTCTCCCCCTCTTTCTCTCTCTCTCTCTCTCTCTCTCTCTCACACTCCCCCCCTGCCTTTTATTACGCCTTCCATCACCAGACATTACACTAGCTAATTACCCACAATCCTACACAAAGAATACCCTATTCCTTTCTAATCCAGCAGTTGATTTTTATGCTTTGTCTCAAGACACAGGGTCATATGGCCCTTATATGTTGTATATACATATAAATACATATGTGTAATAATATATCCCATATATGTGTGTATAAACACACACACATAGACACACAGTACCTATGTGTAACAATAATATAACATATATATAATATAACAATAATATGTCCCATAAGGGTTTATAAGTACCTAAGTACGTACATACGTAAGTTATATGTGCACATGTATCTAAATGTATTGTTGTTGTTTGTGTTTGTTTTAAACAGAATTTAAAAATGACAGATAGTGTTTACGTTGTGTGAACATTTCTTTATGAATGACCAATAGAATATGTTCCATTAACTCCCATTCTAAGAGTTAAGAAGGGTTTTTCTTATCCTGCTTGCATTTGAAGGTTTTGTCCCAACATCTATATGTATATATATATATATATATATATATATATATATATAAAATACTATTACTTATTAGTACTGTGCATACATATACACACATGTCAGTACATATGCATATATGTATTCTCAGTCTAATCCTAAACCTAACCTTAACCTTAAATCAGCAACTGAAAAGAAATGTTTTTCTCTTTCGGTTTTTTTTAAATAAAAGGAACATAGAGCTTCAAAGTCAAGACCATTTGCTGCTCCTGATGCTGCACACTTGCCCTGCGTTTCTCTCTCCTGCATTTTTTTGTTACACACACATGCTTATCACTACACACCGCTTACACCCGCACTACAGTAGACTCTTAACACTCTGATCATCAGGCTCTCCCCATTACTCCCATCACCTTTCACACCATGTCACCGCTCTCAGCCCCATCTGCTCCATTCTGTCCACACATCAGTACAAGCACTCTCCAAAGAAATCACACCTCTAGCCCCAACCACTACAGCACCGCACTCATTCCAATCGGAACATGCAGCCCCGCTCAGCTCCCACAGCACCTACAAATCACACAGGTAAATACATGGCTTTTCTCTTCCTACCTGTTTCCCTCGACACTGGTGTCATATGGAGTAGAAACCCTACGCAGCCAGGCACAGATGATTGACTGCTATGTGCTACGGCCCTCCCCCAAAAGCTCCAGCTGCCCCACCTCCCTCCTTTCTACCACCAGGCCAATCCCAGTGCACACTCCAGTAACTAAGGATCACAGCCTCCCCTGGGCTCCCCTGACCCTTCGCCTCTTTGTTCACCCCTGCATTCATTAACCACGCCTGTTGTGCAGGTCTACAGATAAGAGTGGAGGGCTGTCAGCCTCTTTGGCGTCGGTGCACGTTATTATAGGAACTATACTGATCTTCTGCTCGTATACAGTTGTATGAGTATTAGTATAATAAGTTTAAACACCCCATAATATATATATATATATTTTAGTTGATTTTGTAAGTGAAAAAAGTACAAACTGACATTTTTCAGTATTTTTAGTGCACAATTTCTGTTTATTTGAGTTAGATATATTGAAAAGAAAACATAAAATATAAAATGTGCCATAACCTTTGCTCAGGTCACATTTTAAGTTAAATTTACTCATAAATGCATTAATGTCCATTAATGTGCAGAAGTGTGTTCTCGGTGGAGAACAAACTAATTTATTTTAACATGTCATTTGAGGGGCTTCAAGAGTTTCGCAAACGACTGTATCTGCTGTATATTTCTAAACAGTGTGAATTAAGTGTGGGCAATATGAACTCAAATTTATATTACAATACTTTCTATTATTTAAATGATAAAGATATGACATCATATACAAAAATAAATAAACAAATTATTATTAATATTATTATTATTACTATTATTTGTAGTAGTAGCAATAATATCTTATAAATCCACACAGTTCACAACTGAAACGCTTTTCTTTGTGTAATTGCTAAGAGAAGCACTCTAGTACCATATTCATATTCATCTACACAGTGTGCAAAAGTTTGGGCACCCCGGTCAAATTCAATGCTTTGTTGATTTTCTAAGTGAAAGTAAGTTAACACACCCTCTACAGAGAGCACACTCCCGCTCATTGTAATCATTTTAATGCACAATTACTGTTTATTTGCTAAAAAAAATAATGAAATATAAATATGGTCTGTGCAAAAGTAATAGCACAATTTAAATGTTTTATTTTTTTCAATATGTTAAACTGTTAAACTAAGATTAGCAGAAAAATCTAAATCAAAAAGTCAAATTAAAGTTTAAGGATGTGTTAACTTATTTTCACTTATAAAATCACTTATAAAATCATCAAATAAAATTGCATACAACCATTCGAGTAGTAAAAAGGTTGCTGGTGTGTAGAACTAAGTTGAAAAAAGCAGACGCTGAAAAAAGATGACACTGAAAAGATTTTTGCACGTTACTAAGCTTATGTCTCAGTGTGTACATAGCAACCTATTAAGTACTTTAGTCAGTGTTTAGT